TATCAGACTATTCCGCTTGGTGTATCACAGCTCTAATAATGAATCACGTGCATTTCAAATCTACCGGTCGCTGGGCGAGCGTCGCGTCGACGCGAAAGCTGCGGCCGGCGCGAATTTCACACCAGTCTAGACTAGACTTCAATGTGTCGCAATGCCCTAGGTCTCCTAGAGCTGTGAGAACGTGCGGCCGTAATACAAGATTGAATCCCCCTTCGCCCCGCCCAGCCCTGAGAGAAGCTTGTAATGCACTTTAACGGACTTAAGGTTTGCACATGGTTGCAACGTTCAAATTGATTTGATTTTGACAATAATATCTAGTTTAAGCAATATCATAGTTGTTCTACATTAGTTAGAAGACATATTATTGACTGAATAATTACTGGACATATTTCTTGATAGTTCATGGTCCTTAACTCTTTATTTTAGGTATGTGTCTAGCGTAAAAAAAGCGACATGTGTTTGTGATGTATTGAGGTAATCAAACGAAACTGATGAATTAAAAGCGTGCAGTCTGCAGATGTCGTCACAAGTACCCATGTAGTACTGGAACTTTATTATAAGGCTTTGTTGAAGCACGCAATTTGTACTTTACTATCGATTTATACTGCATAAACACATCTATGAAACATGTTGCTCTCCCTTTCTTTATCTTTTGATAAAAATGAAATGACAATATTTTTTGGAATTTTTCCGTCGGCGCAAGAACCGTGTGTTGAAAGCTGAGCACACCTGTTATTGTTCTATACAAAGATCTTTAATTTAATAGTCGATTATTATTCTGCGTCTGAGAATGCACGTATTTTAGTTACCTTTTTAGTAAATACGATGTTTAAAACATTTATAACATTGAGAACTCAATGTTAAGGGTACACGTAACCCATTTACGAGTAGTGATTAAGGATTTCTTCGTTCTTACACAAGTCTTGCTTCTACATTTCTACATCTTACAAGTAACTACTTATTATAATGTTAACAATCTATCAATTATTATATAATAATCTTTGATTTTCCAGATACTAAACAGGGCGGTTAGACAATAGACAAAGCGGTCAGCGGTTGGGCACGTTCCTTCACTCCGCCATCTTGTGAGCTAGAAACCCTCAACATTGTGGTGAGATGAAAAGGTTTGCTCAAGTGGTATTGAGCTTGACACTTTAACATCATATGGAAAATTTATTAAAACGATTTATTAACAAGTATAAAATAATTAAATCAGTTGTCGTTAAATACAACGTGGTTTCTATTCTAAAATCATATACCAATTTTTGCAATATTTTCTGTTTCTTTTGAAGCATAGATTGCCACTTTTTAATGCTATTTATTTCTGTTACATTAAAAACCGTGAAACAGTAGTTTTTATAGTTTAAATTAAAGGTGATTAACGCGAACTATTAAGCTATTACACGGTCGTTAAATAGATCTTTATAGACACGTTTATTTACGTTGAATTTTGTTGCAGGAAACCCAATTGACTTAATGACATGGATATATGGCGCCAAATGGAAGACTGTAATCTCTGACTATACCTATAAGTAACGGGCGTGAGTTATGTTGTGTTTGTAACATTCTTAGCAATTATAAAATTAACCTTTAAAATTTTGAGGTTATGAAAATAGAATAGTGATGGGACGATGATTAAGGCTACATTTGAAAGCTATTGGCGTAACTTTGATAACAAACACATTACAAGTCATGTTGAGTAAACCCGTTTATCCTAGTGAGGTTCTAGTTAAGTAGGAAGCCGTATCGATAACTATTAGTATCGGGTTAAAACATTACCCGCTCCTGTCCTCAGGGTTTCAGTCTGATGTACGCATATCAAGTTACGGGCGCTTCAACTTGTTTGAACTTTTTTCTTTTTATCATCAATCATTTTATCTTAAACATACAGATCTTTTTTTTTTAATTTAAAAAGTTATCATCGTAATTATGTCGTCTACAGACATATGATGACTGATCGTGAAGTTTTGTATTACTAAAGAAACTAAATGTATTTCTTGTTGCTTTTGAAAAAGAATACGCTTTTATTCTCTAAGGAACTCTATGTATTAGATATTGTTAATTATGCGGTGATAACTGCAACATCAAATAAAACTTATATTAGATGTTATCCCAGTTTTTTTGCATGTATTTTCCAGTGTATAACTAATATGAATCGGTCGATATCAGTTCTTAGTACTTAATATATTTTCCTCCACACCTTTATTTCTATGAATTCATTAGTCATGTATTCCAATAATAATATGAAACTCATGTCTCAATTCGTAATTATGTTTCAAGGAAGAGAAATAGAGGCAAAGAAATAAAAATGTAACTGGACATTTTTTAATTTCTACGTTTAAAAAAAAAGATGCATTTTGACCTCTTTGTAAATAGAAGAACATATAATAAAAATAAAAAACAAGATTAACCTACTATATCTAAACAAATAATACTCATATAATTTCGCACTAAAGGTGTGAATATTGTCTTACATTAGGTCTTTTTACGCAGCAGAAAAGACATAGGGCTAAAAAAAGTATTCTGGCGTCGTGTTACATTAAAAATTTCTTTTAAATAGTGGAAAAAAAGGTCTTTATTCGCCGCCGGATGCATAGGCCGGCCGGCGCGCACGGAGAAGTCTGCACCTGGGGCAACTCGGTGAAAGCGGTCTAGGCTAGCACGCGGCCCTTCTTATACCAGTTATAATGCCTTTATAATAACTTGATTTTATTAATAACTAGCCTTCCGCTCAGATTTTTTTTAGTACGCGTCTCCCGAGGGAACTATAGGCAAATTGCGAAGTTTATTCGCTACACTATGAAGGAAACGGTCGCCGGCTGCGCGTTAGTCCGGATGAATGACTACTTTGCCTAGCCTTTTGTTAAATTCCTTTCGATAAAATTAAAGGAAGTCGAACTGGTCACGCGATCGACGCACAGAAAAAAAATATGCACATACTGGCTGGTACAGACCCTATGCATAATGGCGGACGTATGCTAGACTTTTGTCGTTTAAAAAGATTAAAAAGTAAACTATTGTGTTACCATTTCTATACCTAGTAGTTACAATGCTGCTATTAACTATTATGGAAGTACTAAGGAGAAAGTCTTTGTAAAAAATGTTCCCACGAAGTAGTATAATTGACATTTCGTTTTATTTCGCAAAAGTTCTGGTTTAATACTTTGTAATAAGCTGTGATGCAACAAATAGCATGTTTATTAAAAAAATGCTTGTATTATTTATTAAGATAAAGAATAAGCAGTTATTTTCCGCCCACAGCTTGGAATGTTAACCAGTAGAGGTGTCAGATGACAAATGCGCTGTCTATGGAGGTACGCACTAAAAAAGTACAGAAAATGTGCGAAAACGAACACAGAATAAAAATATATGAGATTAGAGAGGTGATTTCCGTTGGGCCGTTCGAACAATTACTGGGATTTTTTTCAAATAGATGGTCCATAAAATTAATTAGCCCAAAGAAAAAAAATTAAAAAAACACCCTATTATAGTGATAATTCTTAATAATTCAAAAAATTGTACAAATTATGCAATCATTAAATAAACATTCAAAAATATAAAACTATTTAAGTTATTTTATAGCTTTCAGATTAACTAAAAATAATCAAAGACAGTGCAGTAAATCGTAATAACGTGTGGCTTCCGTTTATTCAAATAAAATACGTATGCACAATAATTTATTAGCCAGTCCAACGGTTTGCATGCATATAATATTTTGCACATAGTTTGACCGCAGTTGCATTCCACGCATTCTATGTGTCCATGTTGCTAACTATTATAGAATGTTGAGAATGTCGGATTTGCATTCGGTACTTGATTTGGCCGACCATCTGGTTTATAGGACTTTACTACTATTTCCACTAGGCGATGAGTCGCAGGAATTTCCTGACGTTGGTAAATATTGAATATATTATGAAAAAATTACGTGTTTACATATTCACACATGTTTTACATAAATATTTAACGTTTCCTATGTGGTTATTTTCAATCGCCTTTTCCTTTTTTTCACCTAAAAGGTTCCTTCTATTACTTTTTGACCTACGATAACCCCAAATCCTAAAAGAACTGTCGCCATCTAGCATCTATTGTGAAAAAATAAACAAAACTTAGAAAGTAAGGAAATTTTTGGTCCGAAAAGGATTTTATGGCACTTTTTTGACATTGACAGGAGGGTTTATAACTTTTTAGGGTTACCAGTGAGCAAAAATTTCCTGGCAACCAAGCAACTATTGTAATTCGCCAATATTAAATACAAAATTATTTAACAAGTTATGCGAAAAGTATTTGCAACCTAAATGCCCTTAGTAATTGTTTACTATTTAAATTGTTAAATTACACAATTTGACACAGCTTTGTGATCTTTCAAGAAAACAGGAGGTAAATATACATTTTTTAAATAATTGTGTTTAACACTAACAGTATTTTAATAATAATTAGTCGGATGCTCGCAGCACCAAACGTGAAATTGTCGCTTTTTTTGGAATTTCGAAATAAAATGCAACATTGCAATCTACTCTAGATTGCAGCTTGCGACTGCTGTTCCCTTGTTGGTCAAAATATGACTCTGCCAAAATGACATTGTCAATTCCCGTATCTTCCGAATGATAAATGATAAGAGCCAGATCCTTGTGGAACTGTACACTAATATTTGCATTTTATCACAAAATATTTTTTAAATATGTATGTGTGAAACTAAGTATAATTTAATCTTTAATTGCATTATTTTCCATATTACAAAGGGATTTTGATAGACTTTGTATAAACACGTTTGTCTATACCTGTACACAAACACGATTTGAAGTTACTATTGTTAATATATCATAATATACGAGAAGATTATATACCCAATATGTTTTTATGTGTATGATATGTTATGATATATGTTTAGGATATTTTAATAATTATGCTCCACAAAACATGGTTCTTCTGTTGACATGAACTGGCAATGTTTTGATAATTGTTTTTGAACTTAAATTAGTTTTATCTGTGAATGAAAACTTTTCAGTCATCCAGAAATGGGGCTGCTGTCAATTTATTTCAAACCCAATTTTTTGGGTTTATTAAAATTTTTAAACAGTATGAATTGGTATATTGTATTTTTTAGTTTGATAAATCTCTCAATGTGCATTTATGAGGATCAGATAGGGAAATTTGATTGGTAAATATGGAGTTATAGGTTATAATCAGCATAAGAGTTTTCGAGCGGTTTTGTCTAAAATTAACAAAATAATCGTGTTTCAGGCGCCAGACTTACGTTGGGCGTATAAAGTTCTCTCAGTTTGATACTGTTTCAACCGCTAGGAAGCTTATAGTGGCTACGGAAGAAAATGTATTAGCTGCCTTGCATTTGAAGACTGGTAAGTTAATTAATTCGATTGTCGCTCGCTTGTCTCTACAAAAATCATCTACGTCAACAATATTTGTGTAATTAAAATATTTGTGAAACATTTAAAAGATTGCTTAATTATGTATATTATGTACAAAAGAAATTATTCTACAATAGTAAAAGATATTTTGTTTTCTATAATAAGTAGTCGAATTTACATAACAAATAGTCGCAATTATAGTACATTGGTTTCTAGAAATTAAATCTTCCATTCTTGTACTTTTAAACATTACTGTTTAACATTTTAAGCCAAGGTAATTGTAATCAAAGTTAACCTAGTTTTATAATGTAGTGTAATCATTTACTTTCCAGGTGAGGTGGTGTGGCGACATGTGTTTGAGAGTGCTTCTACAGGCAACATACAGTTGTTGCATGTCTCTGACAAAGTTGTAACAGTGACAGGCTCCAATCCTTACCTTGTTAGAGGATGGGATTCCACTACAGGTAATATTTACCCCGAATGTACAATAATATTTGTATTTTTGGTATTCTACACTGTACAGTTACTACTTCTTTCTATGATAAACCATATACTTTTCTATCATAACAATAATGTAGTTGTTATTTCTTGAAACATTACCATAAAGTTATATAAAAATGGCTAAAACACTCACATATATTTGTCCAGTGCCACCACCAAATATGTGAGTGTTTTAGCCATTTCACTAATGAAAACTGATATAACTCAAAATTTAAATAAAATTTAGTATCTTACTTTTTTATTATTTTGTTTCAGGAATACTCCTTTGGGAATGGTCATTGACACTTCAAGATGATGACCGTGCAGACTTCTCGGAGTGGTGGGTGCACCAGGGCCTGTTGGTGCATATGCTGCCAGTGTTCAACTCACATATTGAAGTCACCATGTATAACTTGTTGACAGGGCAGAACCGAGGGGCTACATCCAAACTACCTGCTGCTTGGGTTAATGATGGGTAAGTTTCAGAACATAGTCATATTTTTATATGTAAATTTTCTAAATTACATGGTAATGTTTATGGTGTGGTGTGTGTGCCAGTAAAATAAAAAAAAACTATTTTTTAACACAGTAGCAGTGGGTTCAAATCCCGCCATGTACCAATTTGTTTTTCGATTTACATATGTACATATAATAAGGAATTCAAAGATATGTTTGTAGTCTACCAACCCACACTGGGCCAGCATGGTTGACTGTAGTCACCCCTAATTTAGGGTAGGCTCCGAACCCCTCAGTGGGGATGTATAGTGAGCTGATGATGATACATTTATTTTGTTATTCTAGATATATTTAAAAAAAAAATACTATTATTATCATTAGTACTAATTTGAATCGTAAATAGCATTTTATCAATGATTTATTTTTAATTTCAGATGTGTTCTAAGTCCTCCATATTACAGTTGTGTATCAGGCAACATGGGTGCTCAACGTTTACTCTCCGTTGATGTAACATCAAGTAAAGTTCAATTGATAAGTCAACCATTATTTGATTATCTCAGTTTGGATGTGTTTGAAGGGACTTTAAAGCCTTTAGATGGGAATAGTGTATTGCCTGCTTTTATTATTGATGATAAGAAGATTGTGATTGTTAAGGATAACAATTTTGAAGCATTAAATATTGCGGATATGTCAGCAAGTGTTACCATAGTTGATGGATTGAATGGACCAATGGTTTTACAAGCTTGGACAGATGATAATCAGGTATGTTATTTAATATTATTAACAAAGTTTATAACAATAGGTAGATCTAAACTAAACTAGTTGTCGTCCACAACTCTGTCCACATGAAGTTGAAAAACTTAACTAGTAGCCATGTGTTTTTCCAGACTATCAAGATCTGTTGAGCCGTTCCAGAGATCTTTTCAAACAAACAAACATCCATCCATCCATCCATCCAAACACTTGTATTTATAATATCAGTAAAATAGTAAAAAACCTTAGATGTTATGAAGAAAAATTGAGTATCGTAAAATTTGACGCAGTTTAGAAAGAGATTTATTTGAACAATATTTCAGTGCTTGGCTTAAACTGAATAAGTAATTTAACTGTATAGAAAATATGCAAAATAAGTACTAAAATAGTACATTTTTACGTTTTCAGGGTTTCAAGCTGTCTGCACACAGTGTGAGTACTGGCAAGGAAGTGTCAGAGATCAAATGCTCGGACCCCGCTCTCCGTATCCCGGAACCAGAGTTGGGAGCGGTCCTCTGTACCAAGACAGGCAACGACCATGCGTGCAGGATAGTTGTCAATGGCGCTGATGACGCTATACATTTAATGCAGCAAGGAGGTTAGTATTTGGTTTTTATTTGTTTATTTTATAATACTGGCCAGTTTTATTATATAAATTGTCTTATAAAAATGTTTATTTGGTTGCTATTAGTAGTTTCACATAATGTTTTTCGTTCAGAATGTGAAACAACAGAAGTCTTTTGAAACCTAGTAATAGCGCCATCTATCCGTACTAGGATGACCAAAACTCAATTGCAGTTCACATTAAATTAACTTTGTACTTAAATTTCTGAACATATTTGTAATATAAGTTATGAAATTAACAGGTAGAGTTATGTGGAGTCGCGAGGAATCTCTAGCCAATGTAGTTGCGGTGGAATTCGTGGACCTGCCCGTGTCGGAGACTGATGCAGCTATAGAGTCGGAGTTTGATCAGAAAGAAGGTATTATATTACTTTTTTTTAACTCTTAAATTGTCTACATAAGAGCCCTAACATTTTGCCAATACATAACATGAATGATAGTAGAAGTCTTTGTACAAAAATATTTTTCTATACCGTTGGGTAACAAAGCATAAGGTCAGAAACGCATCTGCGGTTCCTCTGGTATTGCTGATGTCCATGGGCGTCATTGAACACCTCGGTGTTCGCGCTGCTCGTTTGCCCCCTTCTGTTATAAAAAAAAAAGGATTAAAAATGCAATTTTTTGTTTTTAATGTCTAATTATTATTGTTTTCACATAAATTATTCGTGAAGTAGCCATTACAATGTTGTTTAAGCAGTTTTTTTTGTTAAATTCTGTGTTGAATTGTAATATGTGAAACCCGTTTGGCAATTTTTCAAAATTATTGATGTTGAAATGTCTATTTTCTAGCTGCCAAGATGTATAGTAAGTATTGCAACATATTGTGTTAACAACTCTTCAATGAGAAACCTCCAGCTTATATTGTATAGTGCTTTTCTATTCATACATCTTTTTATTAAGAAACCAATGTCTTTGTTGTATGTAGCATGTATTGATATACATTTAGTTGATATTTTAAGCTTTTTGATATTTTATTTTACTATTTTTTATTAGATTTCTCCTCCAAATTAAGCTTTTTCATAAAGCCGTATGAAACCCTAGCTAACCACAATTGTCATTTATCTTTTCACCTATAGTAGATAATTTTCTACCTCTTTATACACGACTAGATGTCGCCCGAGACTCCGTTCGCGCGGTATTAAAAAATAACTAGTAGCCTAAGTGTTCTTCCAGATTATTTTCTTTATGTATGCCAAATTTCATCAAAACCATTGGGTCGTGCCGGAGATACTTTCAAACATCCATCCGTCTAAACTTTAGCATTTATAATATTAGTAATTTTTTTTTGTTATTTGTATTGGATTTGTGTATCCCCTTGATTTCTTTGATATCTTGCACCTTGGCCTGACGATTTCTCTTGTATTGTAGTAAATTTAATAGAGTTGGATTTTTTAATTTTTTAATTAGTTTTTGAAAGAAAAAATTTTTTTTGACTCTTCACATGTTTATTTCCTTATGTTTGTTTGACTATGATTTGTATGAAAATGCATTATGTTTTGTACATATGTTTTATGTAATAAAAAATCTTCATTATGTTTGACGTGCTGTAACTATTTGCAGGTTCAATCTGGGCAGCGTTCTCTCGTCGTTTACACAGTCAGTATCAGCAGCTGCAAACGTTGCTCGCCAGTTTACAATCTGACAGGGACGTGGTGCACTCCAGTACTGAGGATCTAGTACGGGATTATTTTAATCTACATAAAATTATCGTATTAGTCACAGAAGTTGGAAAGGTAAGTTAGAAACTACTCTATAATCTTACTAATATACATGCAAATGGATGGATGTTTGTTTGAAGGTATCTCCAGAACGTTTGTATGGATCTGGCTTCAATTTGGCATAGATTTCAAATATTACCCGATAGAAAAACATGTAGAGAGGATTGTGCTGACCCTTTATAAGGAATAGGCTAGGATGATGATTTTTTTCTAATTTTTCGTTTATCGTGTTTAGTGTGCGAGTATGTAATAATTTGTATAGCAAAAGGTGACAAAGCAAGCGGCTACTTGAATTCGCCAAAACAGCGAAGTGCCTGTTACCTATAGACAAGTGCAGATGCATTGCCGACCTTAAATCGATAGATGAAGGGGGCATAGAATGATATTTCCCCTTCCTGTGCAACACCATCATTCCCTTCCTTGTACTTGAAAAAAAGTTTATAATGAAAAAAAATTGTATGTATGTTTTAATGTTTTCAGATAATCGGTATAGACAATTTATCTGGTGAGATACTTTGGCATCATTTTGAAGGTGCACTGGATACGGAGGCGGTGGCCATCTTCACACGACGGACTGCACGACATCCGCCATACGATGCATATCTTACCATCGTCGGCAAACATCAGGTAATACCTGTAATCTATACTAGTATTGTAAATACGAATGTTTAAATGGATGGATGGATGGCAATTTGTTGGAAGGTATCTCCAAAATTGGTAACGGATCTCAATGAAATGTGGAATAGATGTAGAACATAATCCGAAAGAACACATAGGGTACTAAATATTTTTTGTTGAATGCAGCGTGGACGGAGTTAAAACATTTTTCAAATCAAATTGAATATATTTCCAGGAGTCTGGCAACGGTCTCATCATCAGCTTGAACCCAATAACTGGTGAGCTGTTAGGCGAACGCGTGCTGCAGGTGGACGGGCGAGTGCTGCAGTGTGCACTCCTGCACCAACCTGATGAGGAGAAGCTGCACGGACTGGTGCTGCTCTATGATGATGAATCCGTACAGGTAGGTAGACCACTGAGGAAAAGATATTGTGACAGTCTTACTAATATTATGATTGCGAATATTTAATGAATGTTTTTTTTTTAATTTTACGCGGATGGAGCCGAGTGCAACACCTAGTCTGTCTAGCATCGTAAAATACGATTTTTGTTTGGCAGGTGTTCCCAGTATCATCAGAGCATCTCGTGGACGACATGTACCTGTATGTGGCGGAGGCAGAAACTGCTAAAGTACAGGGGTATGCACTCAAATACAATGGCCGAGTAAGTCAAAGATTTTTATTTAATCTATACTTATAAAAGAAAGTAAGAACGGGTGCACCGATTTGGCTGAGAATTTGTGGGAAGGTAGCTTAGCATCAGGAGGCAAAGGGTACTTTTGATCCTCTTTCCTTTTTATTTAATGCGCGAGACGGAGTCACGGGAACAAGCTAGCTGTAAAATCTAATGAAAATTGTTGCATCTTAGTGTAATGGTATGGCGAGGTGTTAACACTGAACTATTTACATTTTTAGGGTTCCGTACCTCGAAAGGAAATAAAAACGGAACCTTTATAGGATCACTTTGTTATCCGTCTGTCAAGACCTTTTTTTTAATGATTAAATGTAACTTTCCAGACAGCGATAGCACAAAAGATCTGGTCATTGGATCTGGGCAGTGGAGGTCACCGTATCGCGGTGTCAGCGTCGCGCGCCGCGCAGCGCACGCACTCGCCCGGCCGCGCGCTCTCAGACCGCAGCGTGCTCTACAAGTACAACAACCCCAACCTGGTGCTCTTCATCACTGAGGGCCCTGACCCTGTACATAAAGGTAACCACTGACACTAAGATTAACTTTCATCATCAGCTCGCTATACGCCCCCACTGAGGGTCTCGGAGAGTACCCTAAGTTGGGGTTGACCAATCCAGAGTTAACCACACTGGCCTAGTGCGGGTTGGTTGATGCAGCATCACGATGTTTTCCTATACAGCAAGAACGTCGGATAAATGTACATATGCACTAACTTTAGTAACTTTAAAGTCACTCAAGCTACAAGTTATAATGGAATATACGTGTAATAAAATATGTCAGATAAGACATTATGACATGGTCCACCATTTGCTTTACTGAAGTGTTATATTTTTTTATTTGGTTATGAAAGTTTTAAGTGTATACGAGGTATGAAGTACATGATTTGTGTTAATATAAAATGTTATGTACAGATGTGGTGCGCGCAGTGGCTGTGGACGGTGCATCAGGTGCGGTGGTATCGGGCGCGGTGCACCGGCGAGCGCGCGCCACACCCCTCGCAGTGCACGCCGACAACTGTATCGCATATGTCTACCTCAGTGATAAATATCGCCGTGTTGAAATAGGTCACTACATACTCTGACACGCCCCCTCGCATACGCCTACAAATGATAAAGCTCCGCCCCGTTTTGTCATAAAAAAATTACACTTAACTTATAAGACAAATTTTTATTTGTTTAGTCTCGTAAGCCATATCTACATCCATCCATCCATCCATATTCAGTCCTACATAAAACATCGCATTTTTGACTTCGAAATTCTATGGGTATAGTAATTGTTGTTATTTTGCTGATAATAAAAAGTTTGCGTTGCAGCTACAATGGAGCTGTACGAAGGCAAGGAGCGCTGGGGCACGCCGGGCGCGCCGTTCAGCTCGTTCAGCAGTGCGCGTGCACCCGCAGCTGCGCGACAGGCGTACATCGTGCCCGCAGCTGCGCGCGCACCCCGCGCCGCCGCACTCACAGTCACTGAGCGCTCGCTCACTGACAGACATCTGCTGTGTGAGTCAATCAATTTTACTAAACGATGTCAACTATTATTGCCACAGGTCAAGCTACGTTGTCAAGATCCTATTGGAAATTTCAAATACAATAGTTCAAATTAATTTACTGAAAATGCTTAAATGTTTCAAGGCAATGTAGGAAAACTATATTTATATAATTCAAAAGTAGGTATTGTAATATTCCAGTGGCGTTATCGAATGGTGCGATAATGGAGATCCCGTGGGCGTTCCTGGACCCGCGACGTGCGCCCGCTGGGGGCGGGCAGATGGGCGTGGGCGAGGAGGGCGTGCTGCCGTACTTGCCCGAGCTGCCGCTGCCGGCCGAGGCGGTGCTCAACTACAACCGGTCGCTGCACCGCGTGCGCTCCCTGCACACACACCCCGCCGGCATCGAGTCCACCAGCCTCGTGCTCGCCACTGGACTCGGTCAGACATCACTCCTTCACCATTCTTACTTACTGACTTGTCACTTTCGTAACCTCTCAGATCTTTCATTCGAAATCCAAATATTTATAAAACTAGCTGTCGCACGCGACTTCGACCGCGCGGTATTAAAAAAAACTTAATTAGTAGCCTATGTGGTCTTCCAAACTGTGTTAAATTTCATCGAGATTCATGTAGCCGTTCAGTACTTACCTTGTAACAAACATACATCCAAACATTCGCTTTTTTTTATTATTAGTAAAATTAAAAAAAAAACAACTTTACAGATATGTACTACACGAGAGTGGCGCCATCTAAAACATTCGATCTCCTCAAAGAGGACTTCGACTACCATCTGATCAGCATCGTGCTGGTGGCGCTGGTGGTCGCCACATACAGCACCAAGTACTTCGCCTCGCGCAAAATGCTCAAGATGGCGTGGAAGTGATGATGAGTGTATCGCGGAGACAATTTCGACCGTATTGCAATGGGTTACAGATCAAATTGTATAAACAAAGTCATATTTGATAAAGCAATGGTTAAGTACCTGGGGAATAACTTTGAGAGAAGAGTAAATAGGGTAACATAATAATAATATACTTTAACGTGGGATTATTGTAAGCATTTTATAAAATTATAAATGAGACAGAATAGAATAGATGCAATGTCTGCTTTTAATGTAATTTAACTAAGGGAAAGTACCCATACTATGTGTCCCGTTTAGGGGTGGGGGGGGGCGGAGACCTTAAAATACTACGGTCAGTCACAAGAGCGGGGGGGTGGCTCAGATTTTACTCACGTAGTCGTTAGTTGTTTTTTTTTCACAATACATAATTCACTAGTAATTCGACTATTGTCGTAAACCATATCCTAGCTCAAGCTTAGAGCTTATTTGGAATGGTTAAAGAAATATTAGTAAATTTACACAAAAATCTGCTAATATTTTAAAATAAAAAAAGTATGCATGCAGTCTTATGCTATAGCAACGAGTATAAGCCAAATTATTCTTTTTTCAACTTTTGCCTGTGAAATGATTATGAATTACTACGTAAAAACTAAAGGGGGAGGGGTATCTTGGCATGTACTACGAGTGGTCACCGAGGGGTGTGAGGTGTCGAAAAAACTAAATAAATAGGTCACGTAGTATGTGTATGTTCCCTAAAATGTTATAAATTTAATAAATTATGTAGCTTTTAGAATAGTTTAAATTTAAAACAATGAATGCCTTCACTGTATTTATAATAAACGAAAATGAGCAATAAAATGAACACCAAAAGAAAATTTTATATTATTTTAATATAAAATTTTGAAACAGTGTAAACTTTTTTATATTACCACGTGTTTAAGAGTTTTGTATAAATATAAAGTTATTAGTATATTAAGATATTTAACTTATACATTTATACGTCATGATAGTAAGTTAAAAAATCTATTGAATGATAGTTTTGATCATCAGCTGTAAGTCCCAACTGAGGGGCTCGGAGCCTACCCTAAGTTAGGGGGTGACTTGACTATAGTCAACCACACTGACCCAGTGGCTGAAGTCAACCCGACTTCACACATATCTTTGAATTTTATCACAGATATGTGTAGCTTAACGATGTTTTCCTTCACAAAGAATGTCAGATAAATACATATGTAAATCATAAAACACAGTACATGTCGGGATTCGAACCCAGGACCTGCAGATCAGTCAAGTGCTTAACCCCTGAACTACTGACAATCTTGTATTACTAAGTAGTATTTATTCGCCAGCTGTAACTAAGAAAATAACATTTATAAATCCTTTTACCTTTGCAATACGGTAAGAAAAGTTCTCGAATGGACTATAGGTGAATTATATAAATATATACATACAAACATACAGTGTGATTGTTCATAGTGTGAGTGTTTAAGTATAAATACACTTTAATAATAATTTAACTGGACGATGACAGATTGATGCAGTCACAAATGTGTTTCAAAGCATCTTAAAGGTACGTGTCCATTGAACCGGACGCACCGCACGCAATGGATTTTAGTTTGCTTTGTATGTAAAATACATAGCGTCCATCATCCGCGTCCCCGCATCGAAAGGCAAGACAAATCCGTTTAATCCGTACGTACGGTGCGTCCGGTGCGGGACAATGTACGCGTACCTTTATACTAATGCGTGATGTCAATTGCATTCTATTTATTAGTCTAAAAAAAATTCAGCGACAAAATTATATATAAAGTTAACTTGACTCAATTATTTTTTTTAACATGCTTGTTTGTGATTTTTATAATAATGTAATATATTTCTTTTGAGCCTCTGTCATATTTGTTATGTTTTAACTTTTGCTTTAGTAACAGTTCAAATGCAGTTTTGCAATATTAATCGTGAGTTTCTGAGACCCAAATTCCCGTTTAAAACAGATTGTTATATCTCTTTTTAAAGATAATGACACAAAATATTATTTATTTAGTTTTCAGAAACCATAAATTGCATACAAATTGACTAGTATTTAAATAATATATAAAGGATAGTTACCATTTGATATGATTGGGTTGCTTTGTGAAAATGTCATCGTCCCAGGCCAAGTGTAATAAAATAAATAATTTTAGATTGTAAGTTGGTTTGAGGAAAAAAAAAGATAGTTGCAAATCAATAAATTGTGAATTTTAAGAAATAAAGTTTTTATTCTGCATTAACTTATTGATTTGTAATCAATTTGTCGAGTTACTAGTGCAATTTAGTCACTGATTTCTATAAATATTCATCGGACAGGTCGTTGCTCGGAAATGACTTATGCTTTGTTCCAATTGAAGGTGCCAGTCGAAGTTACTGTTGACTAATTCTTTATTAGTCAAAGTAGAAAATCAATAAGGCACAAAATATCCCAGCTATATCCCGTCCAGTGGTATAGAGGTCAGTGAACTTAGTATAATTTAAGGGTGGTTTGTATATTTATTTAAATTTGGAACAAGATCATTCCATCATTCATTCATATTTCACATTACAAGATATTTCTGTTATATTTTTTATTATATCTTGAAAACATATCTTTGAAAATCTTGTGTTCAAATGTTATTGAGTTTAAAAGTTTAAATAATATTGAGAAAAGTAGAAAATATAAAACGATTTAATGTTCATTTACATATATATTGATAATGTAACATCATTTCACGAATATGTTCTTAAGCTTTGTTATATATATCAGTAAAATGTACATATAAGAACAAGTGCTTATGAATTTCACATACAATGTCAACAGCCTGTTTATACAATGTTCAAGTAACTGTGGATTTCTGACATCAAAATTACCGTTTTAACCCATAAATCGATGGTGTCCAGTGTGACGAACTAATTAAAAAAAAATCTACTGAACTAGTTTAGAGATAATTACGAATTATGACATTCCTTAAAAAAAAAACAGATTTTTTGCTACAAAAAATTTCGTTGAATTAAGGGTTAAACATGTTGTTGTCTCTGTTTTGTCAATGATAATGACAAGGATGACAATATGTTTTATGCATATTTTTATCTCAGAAACCAACGGTAAGTCTTTAATAAGCTACTTGGAACTTGTCATAACGTGAAATGCAAGCTATTTTGACAGGGATTGTGTTAGTTCATATATTTGTTACTTATCAAGCACTTATTTGGACATTGTAAAACAGACTTTAAATCTTATTTATCCTACATTTAGTTGCACTACTTAGATTATTAAATGTCGTGATATAACAGGGGGGTTAGTCGAAATGCATTCGCTTAGAAGCTATTCTATGACGAACTTCAAAAATGTATAGAACTAACAACTTTCCATACATTTTTGAAGTTCGTTATGGAATCGCTTCGTAGCGAATGCACTTTGACTAACCCCGCTGCTCCCTTTGTAGGACCAGAAAAAACTAATTGACTAATTGTTTTGTCATCGAAATATCGATTTTAATTGAATTAATCGATCTAATATCTGTCACCTTGACAGCTGTCAAACGGTCCTGTTATGTCACGACAAGTCTAGAATGCTATTTTGGGGGTTTGGTCTTATGTTGCAGTTTTAATATAATTTTTCATTTTCGCAACATTTGTTATACTTAGCATTTAAGGTCAAAGTATTAAAGGTTTTTTTTTGTTTTATTTAATACATGTTCATTAAACTGATATATAAACACGGCTAAACACTCACGTATATACGTCCGGTGGCGGCACCGACTAGTTTCGAGCCCATCGGGAGCCCCACATCAGGATGTGTGGTACTGGTATTATTAGTACAGGACGCGGCCCGTCGCTCACTGGAAGGGGCACCGATGGGCTCGAAACTAGTCGGTGCCGCCACCGGACGTATATACGTGAGTGTTTAGCCGTGTTTTATATATCAGTTTACATATTCATTGTTGGTTATTGTGTGTATCCGAATCTGTTAAGAAATATATAAATCTAAATATAATTTTGTGGTCTCCGAAACCAATATTTCGCGAACCCAAAAATATCTGGGTACAATGGAACGGACTATGGATCGAGATTTTACAAGTTTGTGGTCTAATCGAAAGTATTTTCAAAATGTAATTTTGTACTACAAATTTTAACACCGGAGAAATTTATTCCAACAAAAGGCTTTATTAGACCGTTTCTTTGCCTCACTAATGTGATCCGGATCTATAGATTATAAATCTATGATTAAAGTTGCTTTACATTTTTGACATAAATGTATTTTCAATAAATATAGCTCATGGGTTACCTTATTTGGCTACTATTGTCTAATTTTAAATTTCACCTCACTGTAGTCATTTACTTTGGGTTTTGACTGCTTTACACATGTATTGAAAACATGTCTTCCTTTTCACAAAATATAAGGAATACATTGTGTCAATACAAGTATATAAGCAGTGGAAACACATGATACTATTTGATGTAATAAAAATTTATATTAATGCAATTTAAAGTTTTGTAAATCTCACATTTGCCTTTTTAAATCGCAATTTACTTCTGGCAACTTTAAGAGTTGAATATATTGGTGGTGTTGCCAGAATTGTTTTTTTATTATTCTCGATAAAGGTGTGTAAATCATTATATACGAGTTATAAATATCGCAATATTAAATAGTACATAATGTAAACAGTTTGGCTGCCATGTTGCAATAGTTTTGTAATATATACGTTCAGTTTGTGTAAAAACAAGTTTGTTTTTGTATAATATAAAGATTAATTACATACTGCCAATTTGTGTTTTACTTATAATTCAAAAGAGTTAGAAGCGAGTTTCAAAAATGTGCCTGTAAAACGGCTTCAGGTTCCTGCACAATCCCTCTTAGACTACGTGATTTTATAATTAAAAAAAAATTATGAGAATAAATTTATATTCATTATAACATTTTCAACGCGGTGAGGTTCAGTGACGGATTATTTACAATAGTGGTACATTATTTACTAAACATCTTTATGTATTTTAACCTTTTCGCAGCCAAAATAAATTGGCAAAGAAGTATTCTGTGAGCCGGTAATTAACGTTCCTTTTATAAATGTTTAAACGTACATTAAACTTTAAGTATAGTAATTAAAAATACCAAAATATACTGACTATTATGTGTACTCCATGATTTGTAAGGAATGTTTTTTGTCTTATATAGAAGACTGGCTGCGAAAAGGTTAAACAATTGTTTTAAATTCTTGTCATAGAATGAAGATCAATACATAGAACATTTAAGTAAATACACATAGCTTATTTACAAGGTTAAATTTCCTTAACATTTATGCTTTTTGAATAGCAATTTGATATTCTTATCGTAGTCTGTGTGCGTGCACTTGTATGGAGTGCCGATGACGTCACAGAGCTGCAGAGTGGTGACGTCACGGGGCGGGGTCAGCACGCGCTCGTTGCCGCAGAAGGTGCGCAGGAAGTACCACACCGCGCCGTAATTATATGATAATATTTCACTGAAGAAATTCACTGATAATTCCTGGAAACACGAGGGAGATTTGAATTTATTAAATTTTAATTGAAAAAAAAATATATTAAAAATATAAGTAAATGCAGACCAGTATTAAAAAAAATCCTTATATAGAGATTTTGGTCTCAGAAACCTACAGTAGCTAAGCAATACCTGTAGTGGTTGTGGTTGGTTCTTAGACAGATATAGTACAGCGGCGTCCATGGCCACCTGCAGCTCGGCCTCGTCCACCGCCAGCTGCAGCAGCAGGCGCGGCAGAGCGCGCAGCATGGCCTCCTGCAGCCGGTACGCTGCGCTCAGCCGGTATGCAGACCCTTTGTCCTTCAGTAAGCTCTCTGATGAGCTGGTTTTTAGATACTTGTATATGTGTGGTAGAACATCTCTGTAGATAAAAGATAAGAAGAGATGTTAACACATTTGAAATCATTGATTCGAATTAGAGTGAAAATTGTCTTGAACTCTCGCTTTTCGTGGTTCTACTGTATTAATATTTTTTATAAGAGCTAAGACCTTAATCTTTAAAATTACATAAAGACTCACTTGGAGGCACGACTTCTTATAAAATCTTTAGACAGCGTTGCCATGGTGACGAGTAGATCTAGCGCCGCCATGGCGACGGGCGGCTGCGTCACGGTGGCATTGAGCGGGGACCAGGCGGCGTGGACAAGCGGCAGCAGCTGCTCCTCGTGCTCCTGCAGCACGACCAGACCGCTGCGGACCACGCGCAGCGCCAGCACGCTCTCGTCACGTCGCGGTGACGTCATGAAGTTGATAGTACGTCGCAAGATGGACACTGTCACGGTTACGTGACGAGGTAGTGGAGCTGCTTCTTCTGGAATACGAAAACACGTGCTACAAAACCGTGAAATTTCACATTGAAACATACTTTTCTGTAATGTGTTTATGTGTGCGTCGACAATGGAAACCCAGCCTACATTTTTTACAATACGTTTGAAATAAATAACATAACCGCGTTATAACGTCATAATTTACAAATTGAAGAAAATAGATAATTTTATTTTTAAATTTTACTAAAAATTGAATTATATGACATCAGTTACTTATCAAATGTTTAAATCTTGGCTGAAGGTCATATAAATAACATAAAATCGGTTAAAACATTTTTGAAATATCGTAAAAATAACACCAAAAAATACTAACTTGTTACAGTATCATCAAAATCCATTTCGTTCTCTTCTTTATTCTTCACATCTTCTAAATACATCTCCTCCGCACTCTTCTTGTCTACATCCTCTTTCTGTAACATTTCCTCTACTTCTTTTTGATTCTTAGCAAATTCTAGAACATCCTTCAAAACATTCGGTATTTCAGTTTCCTTTGATATGGTTTTTTCTTCCTCTATATGAAACCATTTTCTTATATATGTGATAAATGTTAGAAACACTTGTAAATACGCGTAGAGATCTTTTTCATGATATTTGTCGCAACTTTGAACCAGCACCTGTTAAAAAAAACTATTCTCTTTTACATCACAATTTTAATTAAAAAAGAAAACTAATATTATTCAAAAGTCATTGAAATAAATTACTAAATATAGAAAATGTAATTTACCGTTGGTTCCTGAGGCTTAAATCTTTGTATAAAATAGTCATCCCAGTAGTGTATGCATAAACATAGTGTTGTTTGTCTCGAGCGTACACGTAATAAGTACATGCCGGAGAGAGGGGGAGTCAGTCGATGTCAGACCTTTGGACCGGTAACACGTGTCGGTACGTGAATGAACCAAATATAACTCAACGAATGCTACAATCCATGTCATTATCTTTGACAAAACAGAGATAAGACAATATGTTTCAAACGGGAATTTTAGTCTCAGAAACCCACGGTTAGTTATAAATCTTTTCCGCATTTATTATTTGGTTTCTAATGAAAACTTTTAGTGTATACTCATAGTAAAGCTACACTAAGGGTAGCACTTAACAACTGTGAGGGGCAGTAATACTCACGTCGTCAACGATGCCGTACAAGTAGTCCAGTATCGCGGTGTCGCTGTATCTCATCACCACAGACAAGATCTCCAGAGCTGACTGGATGTTCCACACCTAAACAAACTCATGTCTGTATGTTTGTAACAAATAAACTCAAAAACTACTGAACCGATTTCAAAATTATCTTTCCACTAGTTGTCGCCGGCGACTCCATCCGCGTGGAATGAAAAAAAAAACTTAATTAGTTCCCGACAATTTCCATGAATCTTTCTCACCTTTTAAACCTTCCCTAGATCTCCACGAACATTTCAAGACTAAGATAAGATAAATCCGTTCAGCCGTTCTCGAGTTTTAGCCAAACTAACGAACAGCACTTGATTTTTATATAAAGATTAAAAAAGCTACATTATTACTCATTAATGTAGGCTAGTTTATTAGTTTTTTCTCAAATTTCGCGCAGACGAAGTTTTTAATCTTACTAACATTATAAAAGCTAAAATTTGGATGTACGAATGTTTGTTACAAGGTATCACAAGAAAGACAGCATGGATTTTGATGAAATTTGGCTGTAAAAAAAACCTGGAAGAACACATAGACTAATAAATAAGATTTTTTTAACGACGGACGGCATCGGGAACGTCGGCTAGTATACACTAATCCAAACTTTTTTTTTGTGGGTAAGTATTACTAAAGTTAGTTTTATAGCTCAGTTTTAGTTATGCGTACCTTTTTTAGTTTGTTTGTAATTTGATTGGTGAGATAATCTCCATTAGCTGCGATGAGTTCCCCCGTACCCGCGTGTCCGCACGCCGCAGACACGCACGTGCTCGCCTGCAGACCCGCTATGTGCAGCAACTCGTAACGACTGCCTGGATATAGATAACTATTATTTTATATTATAAAGTGGTATACTAGCATGTGGTCAATATTCGCCGAAATAGCGAAGCGACTTCTGCCCATAGACATTATTGCAGAAATGTTGCCTACTCCACAGAAAGAGAATTTTTCCCCTACCTTTTGGTCTCCACCTTCATCAAATGCTTATCCTCTTCCTATCCTTTCTTATAATTAAAGAGTGGGACAGTAAAGAGGACTAGTATCTAAACTATTCAACCTCTTTAAGAGAAAATTAGCTGATGTTTGAATAACTTCACTTGTTGTTAGAGGTCATCACACACATACCCACTCTCTCAAGTAGGAGACACAAGGTCTTCATGAGGTAAGGCTGGAAGTGTTCTTTGAGGTGGGCGGCCATCTCCCCCACACCCTCAGTGAGCAGGCAGCTGAGCACCAGGTGGCGCTGCAGCTGCGCCGGGCTGCGGCACCCCCCGCCCCCGACAGCACCCCCCACAGTGGGGGGCGGGGGGCGCGGCTGCTGGTAGCTGATGCCGGTGTAGCGCACCTCTGTCGCACCCTCGAACAAACCTGAAGAAATTGTATTTACATTGACTAATAAAAAAATTGTGCTGTTGATAGTTTTTTTTACAAATATCAAAAACAAATGAATATAAAGTTTTTTTTTATTTAATTTTACAGATTACGTAATTAATTTTTTATCTATGATTCTTTATGACATTTTGGTTTTGGTCTATCAAGTTGTTACGCTCTGTTCACAAACCTGGAACACTATCTTTAGTCCATCCCCTGGGGTTGTACACGTTGACATCCAAGGTTTCCTCCCGACTGAGGGCGGGATCCTCTACATCCAGCTCCAACGGTAGGTACCACAGGTCCTCCTCCAGATATATATCCAAGATGCGCTTGGCGAGCGTCGGCGAGGATTTTGGTGCTGGAAAGACATTTATAATTTAACTAGTTGTCGCCCGCGAGTCCATCCGCGCGGAATTAAAGAAAAATATTAGTAGCCTATGTGTTCTTCCAGGCTATATTCTACATCTATAACAAATTTTACCAAGATCCATGCAGCTGTTCTGGAGATACATTCAAACATCCATCCAAACGTGTTATGTATGTTGACTCACCGGATCCAATACAATTAATGATATAAGCCAGTTCGCAGTCTCTCTGCTGGAAGAGGTCCAGTAGATGGTCCAGCACGAGATGGGCGCAGTCAGCCTCCGCCACGAGCTGGCAGATCTCCCGCAGCCGGGACACGCACGCAGCATTGTCCAGATGACGAAACTCCAGCCACGGAGACGTGGGTAATGGGTTACTTGTCAGTTCTAGAATATAAAAGTTAGTTTCATTTAAGTTTTTACTCTATACCGATGGGCATAAAGTGCATTATAGATTGTTACAGTGTCTTCGTATTGCATCGTCAGCGCTGACATCGAACACTGCGCACATTCGTATCTCAACTCTATACAACTACTAATAAAGTCTACTATCGCTTGTATTATATTTCTAACTTTATACACGCACTCATAAAGTATAACATCGCTAATGACCTATTTTGAACTCTATGAACCCACACATAAAGCATACTATCGCGTGTAATCTATTACCAACTTTATAAACCGACACAAAAAATACACTATGACTTGTAACATATTTTGAGCTGTATTAGCCTACACATCTTCTTCTATGAATATAAAAGAAAGTCGTGTTAGTTACACTATTTATAACACAAGCACGGCTATACCGATATAGCTGAAAATTGGTGAGGATGTAGCTTAGAGCCAGGCGACTGACATAGGATACTATTTATTCATTTTTTTCTAATGTATGCCTTGAAGAGCTGCTTTTTATTTAACTTACTAATATTATAAATGCGAATGTTTAGATAGATGTGATGTGGATGGATGGGTGGGCTACACTAATTAAGTTTTTATATATTCACGCGGACGGAGTCGCGGGCGATAGTTAGTAAAGTATAAAATCGCTTGTGACCTGTGACGTGAGTGTCAGCGGGGGGGCGCGTGGCGAGTGAGACACGCTGCGTGTGCAGTGCGGCGGCGTGTCGCAGCGCGTCACACAGCGCGGGCAGACCGCCGCGTGACGTCAGCGCTGACGTCAGACGACCTCCGCCTCCGTAGCTCAGCACACGTATGTACCCGTACACGAGGTCCAGACCCACCAGTTTACGACTTGAATCTGATTAGTTAAATATTTATCTTACATTTCTATAGTATCAGATTGTATATAGCGGTGGCTAGGAATTATAGTAAAAAAAAAGAAAATACAAAGAAACACCCGCTATCTTCTAGTGTAAGTCCCGACATAATCGGCCATGACGTTCCGGAGATTGCCCGGAACAAACATAGCTTGTGGACAGACAGATAGACAAAAATATCGGTTTCTAGTTATAAGTTAAGCGATTTTACTATATAGAGTAAGTAGTTAGTAGTAAAAAAGTTATTTAGTTTTAAAGCTTTTTTTTAAAAACAGTCTAACTTATATTTTTTGATATTTATATTGAAAACGTATGATTTACAAACTAATCTCTGTATATACTTTTAAAATATCTATCTAGATATATACTTACTAATATTATTCAAAACCCTCGGCAAATTAGTAACAACATTGAGAAAGTTCTCGCATAATGTATCCAGGGTGTCGACAATTTTCTCTTTTGGCGAATCCGTGAAGTAAACCTTGAGAACGCGTGAGCAGTACTGCGCTACATGCGGATAGCTGTCGTTAGAAAGGGACAGCAATACATCTAGAACTATAGGTATCGATGGCTGCATTGATCTGAAATTATAATTTAATTTTTTTCATTCGTTCAAAAATAATTAGTAGCCCATTTGTTCTTCCAGACTGTTCTACATCTATGCCAAATTTCAGCAATATCCGTTAAGTTCTGGAGATATCTTGTAAAAACATCCATCCATCCATCCAAATATTTACATTTATAATGTTAATAAGATACATTTTACCCGTGAGTCTGATTGCATTTAAAAAACAAATCTATATACTACTAGGACTAGGGTCTAGGCATACATAATAACAAACATTCATCCAAACATTCACTTTTATAATATTAGTAATGTTAGGAAGAAAATCCGGAAATGTGGCAGTGTATTGACTCAACACTAGCCTTACTAAAATGTCGACGTTTATGTCCCCTCACTATTCATTCTGACACTGGACTTTGTAACGAAAGCACGTCATTCGCGCCAAAGGATTCTAACTAATAATGTCTAAAAGTAAGAACACAAACTCAAATACAAACACACTGTAACTTATTATCATTATTTATTCTTACTGATTGCACTCGTTCAATATCCTGGAGCACAACACGGCAAGTTCTTTGCGCACTTTGACATGCTCGTGCGCACTGAGCGGCACCAGACTGCGCACCACCAGCGACAGCTTCTCACCTGCCATTGTGTACCACTCCGGTGACCGACGGACTATGTCTTTTAGACCTAAAAGAAATTTTGCTTTTGAATGTCGTTGGTAATTATATAAAGTTAAGACCCTTGTTCCAGTAACGATACGAGCTGAGTAAGATGTATGATACATAGTCATGTGAGGATAGTCTTAAAGCTTATGTTTGCGCTAGTGGAAAAAGGATTTAAGAGGATAAAAGAGGATAAAAGATGATAAAAGAGGGAAAAATATATTTTAAAATTTGCTTGGTATATACATACGAATCTTGGATAAGCGAGACTGAAGGGCAACAATATTTTTCTTGCTTATAAAAGTTTCTCCCTAACAAGTTTCTCGCTTAAGGAGGTTGTTAGTTAAGTCTGAACAGACTCTTATGTATAGAGGTTTCTCGCTTACCCAGGTTTGATTGTATTGGGTTTTTCCGATATCTTATTTACTTAACATAAATAATATATTAATAATTTAAATGATAAAAGTCTGGAATACTACAATATCTACATATCATGCAAACACTAACATGTATTAATGTGTTGGAATCAATTACCCTTGCTGCTTACATCTTTGTCTACGCAACTTGTCTTTTCTGCGATCATGTCCGCAAAGTCTTTGGCTGTCACACTTGATTTCTTCGGTAACAGCTTATCATTCATTGTTATACAAATCACACGGTGGCTTGTGTTTAGAGCTGACTGAAAATATTAAACAATAGTCAATTTATTAAATGAAAAACATGATTTTTTTGACATTTGACATCAAGAGCGGGCAATAATATTTTTACACAAAGTCCAAAAGGAAATAATGTTATGTTATAATACATAATAGGTTTAATTTGACTCTTGCTTTCATAGGATTTAGCGTTTTATGTCGAAAATGTTGCTTATAAATTTGTCAATTTAAATAAAATAGAAAACGATTGGGAAAATAGTTTCTTACATTCAATCTATGTAAGAAAAAAATGTTTGGAATAATTATAAAAAAGAAATTTAAATTAAATTTATTCTATAAATATATTGAATATTTTTCTGTTTTATTTAAAATTGAGAATTTTTTTTTTATATTATAATATAAGGTGGCAAATGAGCATGCAACCACCAGAATTCTCCAAAATGGCAAAGCAATTGCTGCAAATCTTTACAATTATCAACATTTTATAGTCTACATGACGCTCATTAGATATTGGGAGTAATGATACAAGCTAGCTTAGTGCAGACTGGTTTATTGACGTCCTTGTCAAAGTGACGGCAGATGCAGCAGCCGTTAACGCGCACAGATTATGCACTTACATATACAACAAATATAGACATTATAACTTACCACAACAACAGCATGTCCCGGATTATGTGTGTCCATAGCAATATCTTGCAAAGCTGATAGAACACCCGGTAATATGCTTGAAAGCATATCTACGACTACAAATTCAGTGTTACTGTCCCTTATTTGATATGCACTGTCTGTCAGCTTGTCATGAATAGCTGTGAAAGCTGTCATGTTTTTTATTGCTGCTAATCTGTAAATGGACAGGCATATATCAGCCAGGAAGATAGGAGTTGTGATTGTTGTCAGAAAATATATAAAATTTACATAGACATTGGTACATGTACATAGACTGGACATAATAGAAAAAAATCGCAAAACAGAATATTTTCCCTTCCTATGCATCCTCTTATCCAGAAAATCCATTTCCACTTCCCATCTTTTCCTTAAAACAAAATGGCAGGGGAAAGAGGTCTTAAAGGACTCTGGGACACACTCATCAGATGAAACATGGAATTGCTTCCACTTCACTCCTGTCTGTGCAGTTGTGGTATTGCACCGGTCAAACCAACCAATTCATGCAAAGATATTAAAGGGGGCTCTACCGCTGTTATAATAATTAATTATGCTATTGTATTATGTAAATTAACTTACCTAAGTGATCGTAACTTTTCAAGTTTTGCAATATGTACAGATACAAAAATAATCTGCGCTAGTAGTGGTACTTGGGTTTTGAATAGTTGGATTCTGATATCCTGGTCAATACCAAGCATTAGTGCTGTGAGACATTTCATTGCACTTAGTTTAACCTCCTCTGGTACATCGGCAACTAGAAAATTTTAATTAATAACTTAAATATTGTTCAAATTTCATATTACAAGCTTCACTATGTCAAAATATTGTTAAAAGTCTAATAATATTAAACATTATGTTAGAAGCTAAAAGTTTAATTATAGCTAAGAGTTATTTTTATTTTATTTCTTAAATTTCAAGGCAATAAACCTTTGGCATTCATAAAAATAACCCTAATAAATATTTCATCCGCATGTGCCCAGTGGTTAAGGAATGCATATGCAATGCATGTAAGATTGACCTTTATTTTTCATGAAGAGATTTATTTTAATATTTAAGTAATAACTTTGCTTGTATTAATGTAAATAAATAAACTTACTCATCCCAGGTCTTGTTTTGTCAAATATCAAAGGCATGAAACCAGTTAATATTTTTAAACATATGTCAGTGTTATTTATGTGTACTTTTTCCAGCACAACTGTCAAGGCATCCACAATATTTTTTTGCTGTTCAAGTTTACCTCTGAAACAAGTTTAATGATATACTACATATGGGTTTAAAATCATTGTCGCTTCATGTTCAAGGTAACTTTCGATGTAATTTGAAGAACTCACTGCAGTAAAAAACACACTGAAAATATCTTTTTTAGTTTGTTGAATATTGATTTAAAATATATTGTATTAAAATAAAAGAGGGACAGACTGCGCAATTCGGAAATATAATAGAAATGTTACATACTGCATCCCTCTTGATCTGAAGTGAGTGATCAGAGGATAAAGAAGGTATTGGTGCATTTCCTGAACATGATCATTATTCAATTCGCCTACAACAGCCGCAAAGCCGGCTACATTTTCTTTAGAAGGGGTAACCATCATCGCCTCGCATAATGGTTTCATACGAGTAAAAATCTCTTTGAGAACCGTATTCATTTTGTTGATTATTATTATTCAGTTATTTTTAGTTTAATTTATCTTTCTCACTATTTATCAATGTTTTGGTCTATTGACAAAAGCAATATTTTTGTTTTGTTGGAATTACAAGTGCTAACTAAATATTCGCCGATTTGATTCATTTGTAGCTGTCAAACTGAAACTGTCAAATTGTCAAATCAATCCTCCACTTCCAGTTCAACAATAATATAATCCTAAAGGATGAAAGAAATTAGTAGTGTTTTATAAATTCACAAGCAATAGTTAAATCAAGAGATTAAACAATTGCATAATTTTCTTTTATTATTTTTACATTGGAATTTATTAGTTTAGGTACAATAAAAACCCTTTTTGAAAATAGAATTATTTGTGACGTCTGTCAACATAATCAGCTGTCAGGAATCGACTGACTTCTGTTCTATTTGACATACAAGTGTCAAAAGCTATAAACTGCTAAAAATTATTTAATTAAATTAATATTTTGAATTAACAAAATAAATTATGTTACTCTAAGCTAAAACACGTTTTACATAATCATCATGTTTTCATTGGGAAGACAGCGTGTCTTATATAAGTGTCTCAAAATATTGAGGTTAACTTTTTCGGATTTCTGTAGCCTTCCCGATATAAAAAAATTAAATATAGTCCGAACCGTGGAGAAGACAATAGATAATAACACTAGCATCTTCATCGAGAGTCCTATTCATGTTAAAGTGCAACCCATAGACGTGAACGATATCGGAGCTCACAATAAGTTGACTATGACATTATACAGTGAGGGCAAAGACGCAAGTGATTTCCAAGTTAAACAGACCTCCAAACGTTTAGAGTTGCTCAATAAAAATACTTCGTCTGATAGGAATGACGTTTGTATCATACAAGTACCATATAAACTTAATGTTCAAGTCACAACCACTGAGTGCGCTTCTGTGTATTTGTCAAAACTAGAAGGAGAGGAGTTCGTTGTGCAGACTGAACGAGGCACGGTGAATGTTGCAGATATAAAGGCCAACAACATTAAGGTAGACAGTAAGGAAGGATCGGTGAACACTAATGGAAGACTTCAAGCTTCCAACATTGAACTGAAGACAGGCTTGAATTCGGGAATAAACTGTAATAATATTATGGCGAATTCATTCAATGTGACAACACACGCTGGTCCGATTGCTGTTAAATCTTGCTATAGTAATAAATCCCATTTCACTACACTTATGGGTAACATTCGTTTGGACCATTTGCACAGATCTGTAATGATTGATGTGATAAAGAGTGGCAACCTTTACATAACTGGTTTCTCTGGTAATTTACAAGCATCATTAAAGAGTGGCGATGTGTTTATGCACGCATCGCAATTGACGGAAAAAAGTAGTATTTTCATACATGAAAAAGGTAAAGTGGAATTACTTATACCGGACATAATAAATAATCTGCCGGCTACCAACTTAATTGCTGAAAAGATAACCGTAGATGACAAGATAATGAAGCTGGGAAGGTTCATGGATGACTCCCATCCTAAACGGTTCAGGTTTGAAAAGGAGCCCCAGAATGAGTTACATATAGTTTGTAAGAATGGTTCCATTGAATTGAAAGAAACAAATTTACCTTTTATTGTGTAACATTATTTAATGAAAGGTCAATTAAGTGATGTATTTATTTGTATTTAAATATGGTATATAAATATTTTCTTATTTATGTGTTTTTTCTTTGTTTAACTTTATAAAGTTAATCTTACAATCGTTGAAGATTTTTGAAACTTTTAATACTATCCATATCTTTTTTCAGATATTAAATATAATTCTCTATAAAAATGGGTACTTTTTATAGAGACCGTAAAATTAAAATGTCTTAATTTAGTTTAAACTTTTTACTGTGGGTTTCTGTGATTGAAATCCTTGTTTAAAACATAATAGTAACTCTGTTTTGCCAAATATATTGACAGGGATGTAGATATGTTTTATGCAGTGATTGATCTCGGAAACCAACAATTAGTCTCCGTTATATCCAATGTATTTAGTATTTTAGTGTATCTATTTAGTTCCTAGTTGTGTTAGTTTAGATTTGTGATATGTAGTTGTTATATCTTCCTAGTCTTTTCTAATTTGACTCAATTTAATTTATCTATCAGTTAAGATCAAAACTGCTGTCTAAATCTATCATATTAAATAAACCTACATTATTTTTATTTTTTGTGGAAGTAGGTAATATATTGTTATCCCTTTCATTCTGTTTAAACAAATAGATATTATAACAATAATACTAAATTTTTCTCGCGACTCCTACCGCGCGGGATTAATACATTGATAGTAGTCGATTCTGTATATGGAAATCTGTCAAGGTGTTTTGGTGGAATATGGTAACTAAAATTGTGTACATTTTTGTTTGGTGATGTTTCGACATTGGAAATTATTTTGTAATTTTGCATTTTAACGTATTTAACTTATTGGTATGTAATTGTCATTAGATCATATTTGAGTTAAATATATTAAATAACAAATGTTTATTTTTGTCTATTTATATAAAGTATTTGGTACATTAATTTAATCTGACTTTTAATAAGTAAATATATTAAACATTTGACAGCATTTAAATACATAATTATGTCAAATAACAGATTATTTTAAAATCGGTTTTCTGTGTTTTTGGTTCGTATAACGGGAAATAAAAATTTGAAGTTTATTTCATATTAAATAAATGCACAAAAATAAGTTTATTTTCTAGTGATATTATTTTGTGTATTTCTTTGTTATAAATATAACTAAACGGTTTTATATCAGTTAATTTTTATCGTTAATGGTATACGGCAAAGGTGTAGTTAAAGTTGGATAAAAATTTTCTCAGTAATAAAAAAATATTCAATATATAAATGTAATTTGTTGCTCACTATGTTGACTAATAAAGTTATCCAAAAGAATTATTTATTTTCTTTTAGGCAATCTGACATTACCTCTTTATCCCTTTTTATTGAGATCCTTTAGTTTGATCCTGCAAATGTGTAAGTAATTTCTATTGTATTTTTAATTTTGAAACGATTTGTTGTTTATATAATTAATTAATTATTGTACATTAAAGTAACAAACATGTAATTATAGTTATTCTAACAAATTATAATCACATTAATTTAATTCGTATTCAATGGCTATCTAGTTTAGAATTCTATCATTAATTGTTCATGAATAACTTCCCGGATTTGTTTACTTTTTAAACAGGCAACAGTTAATTGGGTGCAAAGATGATTCTCGGGGCGCGGCGCCGACGTCGGCGAGGGCGCGAGAGATAAGCGCGCGTTTATATGCGGCGATAGGCGACGCGCGCGCCAGTCGCCGCCATGCCGGCCTGCGCCCCGGAGTACGGTCGCCTCGCGCGCGCCCATACCGACATTGTGTTCTCACCCCGTGTCAAGAGATGTTCACACCAGTCCCCGCCCTTCACCACTCTCAGGAGATCTTTCTCCTCGACCTTCTCTCTTATACCAGAAGAACAAGCCGTGCCGCCCGAGAGACCGCCCTCGCTGCCCAGACTCCTGCGCATCGTCACCTGGTTCCCTCGCTTGTGTCTGCGGCCGCTGTTTGCCCTGCTCGGTTTCATCGCCCACCCCGCCTGGAAGCAAATCCTCGTAGTTCTGCCTACCTTGTGGATCGCCGCCTCGCTGTTCATCTTCTGGAAGTGTGTTGAATGCCCCATCGGAGTTCTCAAAATGATCGGACGAGCTATGTCCAAGGATTCGAAGAAACCTCGTACTGTGTTGATCAGCGGAGGTAGCTCTATACAAGCGTTGCATTTGGCGAGAAACTTCCACTCTGCCGGAGCGAGGATCGTGGCCTTCGAAATAGAAGGACAGTTCGCCCTATTGAAGTATTCCGCAGCCGTTGACAAGTTTTACACAGTGCCTCGGCCGAATCCTGCGGATCCTCTGGCCTACGCACGCGCCCTGAAAGAAATTGTCGACAGAGAATCCGTGGTGTTTTATATTCCCGTGAGCTCGACGACGCCAGCGTACTACGACGCTCTAGCAAAGCCGCACCTAGAAATTATAGGATGTCAGTGCTTCGTGCCCAGCGCTCGCGACGTTGTCGTTTTGGATGATCCGCTCGAGTTGATACGAGTAAGCCGTGCTGCTGGTCTTGCCACGCCGCAGTTCTGGGTGGTAACCAGCGAGGACGACGTGAGGATGTGGTACGAAAGCGGGGCGTCGAAGGAAGGGCGTCACTTTATTGCAAGCGCCGGCGCCCGCGGTGCTCGAGACCGCCTCCGGTTTGTTATGCCAGAAGAGAAAAGTCTCTTCAGATTTCCCCGGGAAATCAGTGCAGAGAAGCCTTGGGTTATAGTAAGGGAACCGAAGGGAGAGAAAGTAATAACTTGCACCACTCTTAAGGAGTCGCGTGCTGTCAATAATGTGACTTGTCGCGTTGACTCCTCTAAGAAAGGTTTGGTGCCACAAAAAGACGATGAAGCCGACGCCTGGGTACAGAAATTTGTGTCATGCCTCTCGCCGTCGCGCCCCATGACGGGACACGTGTCTTTCAGACTGGTTCGCGATGAGAACGTGTGCAACGGTCAAGGAAACAGATTGGTAGCGATCGGAGCGCGAGTCGGAGTATCGCTACCGTACTTGTGCCAGGTACAGCCTCGCTGCGGACACACGGCGACCGTGGGGAAGCTCTTGAACACGGTTCTGGACACTCGTGAAGCACTATTCACGTACTGGGACCCACTCCCATACTGCGCGTACTACCAGTCGCGCCGGCCCGAGGAGCGCCATGCGCCGCCGCCGGAGCCATGCAAGACGCCGCCCAACGTGCCACTCTGAGATAATTACTTTATTATTATAATAAAGAAATTGTTTTGATAATGTAAGACACTAGTACCTGATGAGCGCACGAGTGGAAACTCTCGGGTCGCAGCCGTGTCGGTCGCCTCGCTCTCTCCGTGTCGTGCTCTCGCTCTGTCGTCGCGAATGTCAAGGGGTCGAGGGACGATATGAAGCTTGTAACTACTAAGTAGATATTCATGTACAATCGCGAATAATGATTATATACTTTCTTATTATTGTTAGATAAGTTGTCGATTAATGTGTACTCTTATTTATAAACGAACTAAAGATATTGACTAGTGATATAAATTATTTATTAAACAAAATCTCTGTTTTTTTCCTTTCTCTCCGTATTGTATTCGTTTGAGTTAAAATAATATAAGCTGTAGTCCGTACCGGCTATATTATATGTTGGAAGCGACGATACTTTATTTTCGAACGTACAATTTATCTGATCTTGTTGAAGTATACGTTATATCCACGTGCATGGTCATTATAACAGTGGTAGAGCTCGTAATAACATCCTTTGCACGAATACTGCCCGGCCGCTGCAATACCACGACCGAACAGAAGATAGGCGTTAAATGGAAGTAATCCTGCGTACAGTCTGATGCGTGTAAGTGAACGATGAAGGGAAACATCGTGATGCATCCTGCACATATCTGAGAAGAAATTCAATGATATGTGTGAAGTCAACCATTCCGCACTGGGTCAGTGTGGTTGACTATGGCCTAGTCACCCGTAACTCGGATAGCCTCTCAATGGGGACGTATAGTGAGCTGATGATGATGAACTCACAAAAATCCTTTACTTAATTTATTGGTCAGTGGTTAAATATATTGTACCTTCCAGAACCGGAATCTGAACATGTCGATAATTACTTTATATAGGTACCACATAAATAAATCAATAATGGATATTTTAATGTTCCATAAGGATTTATGGTGAAATGTTGCAGTCTGATTATAATATCCGCCTGAACATAAAATGGCTATAATCATATAAGTTAAATTGTTAGTTAACGTTTGTTTCTTTTGCCCGGTTTCTGACTGGTGATTTTTTTTTCCTAATTTAGAACAATATTCTTAAAGTATTGGTATAATAATGGATGAAATGATAAGAAGTGTTATAAAGTTTCATTTTTAGTTGAAAGTTGAATAAACGGTATAAAAGTCTTCCTAAGTATGAACATGGCGAACTGACAACCGCGACTCCATCCGCGCGGCATTAAAAAAAACTTAATAAGCAGTCTATGTGTTCTTCCACATTATGTTCCATCTATGCCTAATTTCAGCAATCCATGTAGCTGTTCTGAAGATATCTTCTAACAAACATCCATCCATCTAAACTTTCGCATTTATAATATTAGTAAGATTAATTTTATAATGCATGTTCTTTGATTTAAATTGGTTTATTACGTTCTTCTACATTACCAGCGTGAAATGTGAATGTAATAACCACATAATTAATTCGTTACGTTCTTGGACAAATTAGGACAACATTTATTTTCATGTATAAATACTCGACTGTTACTATGTTTACTTCGTACTCTGTAATTGGAGACTAAGTTGTGGAGAACTTTTATTCTAAATACTCGTAGAAAAACAGCCAACTCAATATGAAATATTTTGTATTAGCATCAGTTTTGATTATTTTTGGTAAGTTTTTTTTTATATCATAAGGTGACAAACGGGCAATCGGCCTGAATTCGTCGACAGGTGATGCCATCGCTACCCATAGGCATCCGCAATTGCAGATGCGTTGCCTACCTTTAGTCGACGGTAGAACGGAGGATATTTACACTCTCTATGCGTCTCTATTTCTTTCAAATACACTTCCCCTTCCCATCCTTTTCTCATAAGAAAAAGGCGTGAGGGGAAAGGGGAATAAAATAAGGCCTCCGGCACGCACACTCGTCAGATGAAACGCAGAATTGCTAAAGCTTCACGCCTGTCTTCTGTGTGATTGTAATGGCACCGGGCGAACGAGCCACTTCGTGCTCCATCCGAGCCATTGGTGCAACCAATATTGTTGTTGCTGGCTACTTTAAACTTACCTTTTTTATGTATTCAAACATTATAATAAGAGCGTAGATGGCTCAGGGCTCAAGCACTTGACTTGCAAATTGCAGGTCCTGGATTCGAATCCCGCCGTGTACCAATGTGTTGTTCGATTTCCGATTTACATATGTACATTTATCCGACGTTCTTACGGTGAAGGAAAACATCGAGATGCAACCTGCACATATCTGAGAAGAAATTCAAAGATATGTGTGAAGTCAACCAACCCGCACATGGCCAGCGTGGTTGACTATTGCCTAATCACCCTTAACTTAGGGTAGGCTCCGAGCCCCTCGGTGGGGACGTATAGTGAGCTGATGAAGATGAAATATTATAAACAAGAGATATCATTGAGACTTTAACTCCTATTTATAAATACATCAAAAAGTAATACTTGCATATGCTTAAGTTGCTTTAATTTTTATATTTTAAAAAAATATCGAGAGCACTTTAAAAATGTAATTTTGATCTTTTTTTTTCAACTTTGTCTCTTAGTAGTCTTTTAAAATCAATACTTAATGATTTAATAATTTATTGGCGTTTCAACTTCAAGCAATGCTGATAAAAAAACTGTATAATAATGGTATCTTGTTTGGTTAAACATTGAAAAAGGAAACAGCAGTTATAAGTATAGTAAGTTATTAAGTTCTAGTAAATTATTTTCCAGGTATGTCCATGATGCCTGAAGCCGAGAGTTTCAGACAACAACTACAAGGTAATTAAATTTGTTCTCGATAAATTAAACATTAAGGCTTCTGAAAAACGAACATTCTTTAAATTAATAATACTTCAAATACGCGTAATTTTAGCGCAAAAAAATAAATTAAAAGAAAAGTTTTATTTTGCACCTTGATGGGTTTTTGCAATTTCTTACAATTAAATAAACTCTCGCATACGAAAATCATAACCCGAAGGGGAAATGGACACAAAGCTTTAAACGAGGTTGAGGCTAAGCGCCATCGGGACGCGACCACCTCAAGCCCGATGAGACTGTAAATGTCTTCTCAAGGCAAACAGTGACTACTGACTACTCAGGCACAAAGCTTGCTTTTGATTTGTTTGCGTGCTATAAGCCCAGTTAAATCCATGCGCAAAATAGGTTCTCTTCGGGTCCAGTTTGTTTTTGTAGTGAGCTAGATGACATAATTTTAATAAAAAGCTAAATCTAAATAAAAATAACTTATTGTAGATCCGAAAGATGAACTGAAATGTGACGTCCAATGTGGAACACACTGTTCCCTTGAATGTAGCCAAGGGGACCTAATGTTGTGTTGCTATTATGGGGTAAGTACTTTGTCACTTGAGTTCCTTAACACTTTCAGTGACCCCAACTCTGTTGACAAGGAAATCAAGTGGCATGGAATGTGTTAATGGAAAGTATCTTAGTGAAAGATAAAGATAAAAATATTTGTTTATTCGATTAAATTTTTCTAATTTTTAGACTAGCGCCAGATATTAACCTAATCCCTTTCAGCATTTAATATATTGTAGAGAACTTAATCGGGATCTGCGCAACGATCTGTTCAAGAGCCAACAACCACAATCCCATGATGATGACCTGTTGCGTCTCTATAGATCTGTGCCTGCTGACGGTACACACGTTGACAATTAAATGAAGAGGTACGAGTAACTAATATTCCAAAATATTAAAATATCTCAATATTAACATTACACGCAAATAAAATAGCGTTTTGTAAATAATATAGTCACCTGTCACTCTTTGAATATGCACAAAGTGTACAATTCTAATATTGTTTTTTTTGTGATCACGCTGTCATTGGATATATTTTATTTAGATGTAATTTATATATTTTTATGATATATTAGGCTCTTTACCTCAAAAAATATATTGTTAATAAATATAATACTAATACTTTATTACAGAGCTACATTTAGCTGAAATGAGTTGCAGCCCTGGTTTGAAAAGAAAAAACTATTTCATATGTTTCTACAATTCTTGAAATAAACGTTATATAAACTTATTCGTTGTCTTTAATTTCTGAATAATGTGGGATTCATTTCTACGAGATTATTAACACGATCACAAGGCGGGGGGGGGGGGGGAAACAGGGTTACTTGAGAATGTGTAATTCGTAGGCCTATTCAGCTTTCTCCCTAGTTTCCTGGGCGGTTTTTTTTATATCATGAGGTGGCAAACGAGCGAGCGGCCACGTGAAATCGATGAAATTTCGAAGTGACCGCTGCCCATAGACATACGCAATTACATATGCGTTGACTATCTTTTATCGACGGAGGAGAGGATGCACAGAAAAAAAATATCTTCCCTTTCCTTGCATACTCTCATCCGGAAAGTCCACTTCCACTTAGAAAGGATGGGTCTTTGCTTATAAAATAAAGGGTGGGAAGGAAAGAGGACTAAATTAGGCCTCCAGGACGCAAACCGTTTGTTTATTGCTAACCGGCTTGCCCTGGTTAGCAGTGAACAAAGCTTACATAACGTTAGCAGTAGTAATAAGGTATTTTTTCGAAGCTTATGCATGTTTATCTGAATCCAATGCACGACTATTGAGTATCGAGCGGCTGGGGCACGCACAACACGCAAACTTACAACGCTTCCTGGATATTTACCTTTTATTATCTGTATTAAGGCTTTGTATACAAGAAAATAATGTATTTTTTAATGTAAAAATTGTGTAGCGATACGAAATAATAAAAACTATTTATGTTGACGTAAAAGAAGACAGTTTGATTGGAAATACTCAAATCTTGGAGGTATTTCCCAAGCTAAATTATAATTAAAACCTGTTTATTTTAATCTACGATTTATATAACATTAGGTATATACTTAGCATAATATTTGTCAGGACAAACTTAAAGTGGCCCTTTTCTTTGACTTTTTCGTCGATTGATTTGTAATTAGACTTTATATCCTATTAAAGTTCTGGCAAACAATATCATTTTGCGTCATGTCAGTAAAGTATGATCGTTTGATGATTAGTGCCGCGTGGAGGCATTGAGATTGATGAATATAATAATTGTATCATTTGCGAGGGCGTGGTTAACACGTGACTAATCTTTTACTTTTGGTTAAAGCTTTGCAAATATGAATAAAATAACTGTCGCCCGCAACTCCTCTGTGCGTAATAAAAAAAATAGTAGCCTATGTGTTTTGCCAAACTGTGTTCTAGATCTATGCCAAATTATAGGTAGAGCCTGGCATGTTTTTTGATACCGCGCGGACGGAGTCGCGGTAGACAGCTAGTATATAAAGTTGGCAAAACAAAGCAGATTGTATTGGAAAAATTGTTTTCCGAGCGTATTAATGCAGCAACGCTCTCTTATCATTAATACAAGCCTCGTTACAAATTATCTATAATTTTATCTGGAGTTAGTAAACATAATCGATATAATATCAATATGTTTTGGTGGCTTCTTAATATGATAACGATTAAAATTGTTTTCGACCGTAAGGTGGAAGATCCAAAAATGTGCCGCTTTATTGGCGCGGCACTAAACTAAAGTGTCGACGTTTGTGTCCCCTCACTATTTATTCTGACACTAGACTTTGTAAAGAAAGCACGTCATTCGCGCCAAATTATTCTAATACTGTCTTAAACGACTTAAGTAGAATAAGACTAATACAATAGACATAGTACAAACTGTTTATACATTAAAGCGTATTTTGATTCATCCATACAATCTAATTATTATTATAAATGCAAATTTTTTGACGGTTGGGTGTTTGTTAGAAAGTATCTCCAGAACGGCTGCATGGATATCGCAAAAATTTGTCCTTCTAGACTATTTGCTACATCTGTGCTAAATTTAATCAAGATCCGTTTAATTATCTAGATACGTACGTAGTTTAAGACATTAATACAGGAATCAATTGGCGCGAATGACGTGCTTTCGTTACAATGTCCACTGTCAGAATGATTAGTGAGGGGAAAAAACGTCGACATTTTAATAAAAGCTAGTGTTGCCAGTACACAGGGACAGTGTCGCATTTTTTCCCCAACAGTAGTAACGAATATCGATCTATTCAAACTTTGCATTTATATAAGTAAGATTATATTTTTAATTATTTCTATAAACAAAGCGTGAAATAAAACCATAACTGTTTGGTCACGTCCTCCAAAAATTAGTACGAAATTTCGTTTCACCTATATAGAGAGATGTTGCTAAGGATTCTTGATATTCATGGTTAACAAGTTGCAAAGAATTTATTTTTACAAAAAAGTTTATAAAAGATCTAATTCAATATGAAATATTTATATTTATTAGCGGTAACTTTGCTTCTTCTTGGTAAGTTGTTTGTTTCAATTATTTGTATCTTGATATATATAATTCTAAATCCTATAATCTTCTGTGAGTGTGTATGTCACTGAACTTCTCTCAAACGACTGGACCGATTTAGATGAAATTTTTTGTGTGTGTTCAAGGGGATCTGGGAATGGTTTAGATTCACAATTTTCATCAAATATTAACTTCATATTAATTTATTTAAATTAAAGACGTGTAGACAGGACAACGTCTGTCGGGTCCGCTAGTAGGTATAATAAATTTGGATGGATTGGAGTATGTAATTGCGTTACTAAGATATAACGAAATATATTTTTTAATGTTTGTCTGTCCGTCCGCAAACACTCTTTTATGTTCTTATGGTGAAGGAAAACATCGTTATGTGAATCCTAGACATATCTGAGAAGAAATTGAAAGGTATAAATTATGTGAAATTAACCAATCCACCCTGGTCCAGCGTAGTTGACTATCGCCTAGTCACCCATAATTAGCATAGGCACCGAGACCTTCACTAGCGAAGTATAGTGAGCTGATGTTGATGATGATTTAATTTAATAATAAGCTCAGCTGACATTAATTTAATTCCTTTTAGATAATATGTTGATGACGTGTGAAGCAGATCGTGTCAAACGCAAACCTGCAGGTATGAATAACCAATCAAAAACTACTCAACCTACTTATAATATGAAATACGGAACAATATTATTTAAGAAAACATCCCATGCATTTAGTCCAGATAAATGAATCAAGGGCCAAACACGGACGATTGCTGTGCGTTCAGGCCGTACAAAAAAGTAGACAGTTGACTGCGTAAAGCAGTCCGTGTATGGCCTTTAATTTTTTTTTATAGTAATAATATTGATTTCGAGATTGAGAGCGTCGGTGGCTCAGGAGTCAAGCACTTGATTTGCAATCTGCAGGCCCTAAGATCGAATCCCGCCATGTACCAATGTGTCTTTCGATTTCCGATTTACATATGTACATTTATCCGACGTTCTTACGGTGAATGAAAACATCGTGATGCTGCACATATCTGAGAAGAAATTCAATGATATGTGTGAAGTTAACTTGCACTTGGCCAGCGTGGTTGATTTTGGCCTAATCACCTAATCACCAACTTAGGGTAGGCTCCGAGCCCCTCGGTTGGGACGTATAGTGAGCTGATGATGATGAATGTTGATTTTATTCTAGATCCACCAATGAACAAAGAGAGTTGTGAAATAATGTGCGGCTTAAATTGTACTCTAAAATGTTTTGGACAGTTATTCGATTTCTGTTGCAAATATTTAAAATCATCAACTAAGACAGGTTCCAGAGTAAGTTTTATAATACAGTTATTAAGTAAATGGTTCTGGTAACTTTAAGTTCTCCTAAGTTACGAATAAGTGAGATGACAACACAAAGACAAAAAAAATTATTTTTCTGTTATGTCGTATTATTTTAAGAGCGCCAATAGCCTAATTGTTAAGGGTACGGATTTCCGATCACGCGGTCGAAGGTTCGAATCCCGCTATTCGACAATTGTCGTTAACCATATTCTAACACAAGCCTGGAGCTTACTTGGAATGTTACAAGAAATATAAGTTAATTAACAAAAATTTGCTAATATTTTTTATGAAAAAAAATTGTTTATGTAATGTCTCGATAACTCGGTTGTTCAAATCTATAGCTCCGACTTGGTTTTGGCCTCGTGTGGTCACCACAATTAACAACTTGCTTAATTTATATTTATAACAATTTAAATACTTATATCTTAATTATAATTTAATTGTTATTTACAGAGAGTTCTTCTTCCTATTGATTTCGTGTCCATGACTCAATGGAAGAAGAGAGAAGCAAAATTGAGATGGACTAAATCGTTAGTCTAATCTAGATAGAATCCTAGACGCGACACGATGAAAAGTTATTTTAATAAAAAATCAACATGACTTTTTCCTGCATTTTTTTTCTTGTGTAACCTAAATTATGCCTTTCCACTCATTCAATGTCGGTCTTCGCTGCACAAAAATTGTACAAAAATCTATAATTAACACTATTTTTTATCAAATGTAGGTATTAATATGATCGTCGCGGTTGTAAATTCACTTGACGGCATCATGTCGTCCCATACTATGGCCGAGAGGGAAAAGAGGGGTTTAGTGGGTAGGTATGCTTCTATTCGGGGAGACAATCTCACAAAAATACCGTGTCTTCCCTGAAGCATGGAGTGTGCCTAATTTCCCTGCATTCCCATTTGAAAGAAAAAAGATAAAAAGGTATATATAATATATTTTCTAACAGATTAATTGGCGAAGAAAATCGATGTTTAAGTGTTTAAAATCATCTTCGTAATAAATGAATTATATCGTATCAAAATTAATAATTAATTTATATTTCTATTATAATATCACCATCAGCTTACTATACGTCCCCACCGAGGGTCTCGAAGCCTACCCTAAGTTAAGGGTGATTATATATAATATTTTCTATATTATAAACACAAAAAAAAGTTGAGGAAATTACGAACAACTTAACAACTTATTAATATACTGATGACAACGTGTTTATAATAAATAATTTAACATTAAAATAAATTAATGATTACATAAATTTCGTAACACAATTATTTATCAGCCTGTCGGGGGCTGGTACAGAAACTTTATCAGTTAATGGCATTAAAATAAACCGACAGACGGTCACTCCTGTGCCGCGTGTCTTACAAAGTCTACTCGTGTATGTCTACTTCCTTCCCGGAACGTTGCTGTTGATTTAACCGTGGGTTTTCACTGCTGAAACACGACACTAATTCTAGTCCTCTTTACCTGCTTATTCTGCTGGGGGTTCTGGATTTAGCGGGAGAGGGGAGTTGTTTACTTTGCATACTCTATATCCATAAAATATAATCATGGGAAAACATCTGTAACCTATTAACTTATTGTATATGTCCTATGGTTATTATTATTATAATATTATTATTATTTGTTATTGTAGCGGTATTAAATGGCCGATCTCACGTTCGATGCTTGTAAGTTCTATAAAAATATAGATTTTTAGTATTCCATAAACAACAAAATTATTATAGAAAAATAGCAAATTTATTCTTGCCAGCCTCAATAAATTGAAACCTTTTTCCGTAATTATAGCAAATAGCATTTCACCTGACCTAGTAGCATTACTCAGTTATCATGTCTGCAAATTTATTTATTTGGATTTTAATATCTTATCGTAGTAATAATGATTTATCATTAATAAGACTTGACCTCAATATTAAAAGCAGTAAAATTGACATAAATGCCGGATATCAAAAGAAAAAAATTGAAAGAAAAGAAAGAAATTATTCACTTTTTAAATAATTTAATATGTTTATTAACCGACTTCAAAAAGGAGGCTATCAATTCGTCTGTATGTTTTTGTTTTAATTTAAATTGTAGAAGTAACAAAATAAGTTTGAATAAAAGAGGTTGGCAACAAAAAGTTTTTAAGGCATATGGTTAAGAGTTTAACTGGCAAGTCACGTACCTACATATAATGGATATATTGGATCCAATCGGAAAGTATTCTACTAATTGGTTAAATAGGATTCGACCCGGATCTATAATATATGACGCACTAAAATTATTCCGTTCCCAAACTAACGTCATTTCGATAACCAAATGTTGTAATGGCTTAGTAAATAAAAAAATTGTGACAAGGACCTTCGCCTTTTATACGTTAACTTAAGACTATCAAATCCACTGTTACCTAATTAAAGCAATAATTAGTATTTAATGGATAAACTCATCCCCAAGATCTCAAGGAGTAGCTGTCTTATTCTAACAAGTACCACAGATAATATAACTCTCTGCAACTGTCGTTAAAAGTTATCATTCATTTATGTTATAGTAATTTCTACTTTTAAAGGCAAAAATCAATTTAATTTAAACCTCAATAATGTAAATTATGGAGCTGCCAATCGAAGATAAGTCGCAAGTTTGATTTAACTAAGGTGGCCAAAAGGTACAGATAATTTATTTGTATACAAGATCCTCTTTGCCTTGTGGTATAAAAAAAAGTGTATAGTGCAAGGCCGATAGTCTTCGGAACAGACAAGTCACAGACGTTTAGATAGCGTTATCTAAAACATTTTACGCGTAATTTAATCGAAAAACTATCGATAGAAATAAAAATATCGAAATCGTAATTAACTAGGCAGACATATTTTCATATTGTGTTCCAATTTGCGTTAACTTTCCATAAAGCCTTCTCACAGTTACTTGTGTTATTGTTATTTATTTGCATAAGTATCAATAATAACTTTGATACTGCAAATAAAGCAAATTAATATTAACTTATCGTTGGTTTCCGAGACCAAAATTCCTGTATTAAACATATACTTATATCTGTCAGAGATAAGAATATGTTTTATGCAGTGATGATAGTCTCCGAAACCAACGATAAGAGAGTTCCTTAATGTATTTTTGAAGCGTCAATAGCCTAATGGTTTAGGGTACGGATTTCCGATCACGAGGTCGGGGTTCGAATCCTGCCATTCGACTATTGTCGTTAACCATATCCTAGCACAAGCTTAGAGTTTAGTTGGAATGGTAAAAGAAATATTAGTGAATTTACGAAAAAAATCTGATAACATTTAAAAAAATAGTATGTAAAAGCTGTCCTCTACTGCTTAAGTAGCTAAAAGATTGTACGGCGTTAAATTTTGTAGAGTGATATCCACGTGTTCTACTTCACGTGATAGCTATATTTTTGTATCGAGCCCAATTTCGTAGCCGACGCGACGATAGCAATGTGTACATGACAATTGATAAGTCGTCGTAATCGTCTACGAAATTCTAGACGTGTGTTCTTATTAATTTCAAACACAAATATGCCATTAGCCTATACTGTTTCACTCGGGGGGGACAGTCTATTGGTGACAGAAATGTATCACATCTGTTTTTGGAGCTTTGAAACTGCAAAAATTCAAACATCAAGTAGTAATTTACTTAATTTGTACTTAACTTATTGTTTGCTTTGTAATCAAACCAAAACTAACCTAATAAAAATGAAGTTCTCTCCATTTTTTACGTCCTGGAAACATTGAATTAATTTTTACATGACGTCGCTGATAAAAGTCAATCACGACATTGTCATTTGCCCAGAAACAATGGAAACTTTCCCTAGTACGCGATTCTTGGTTATCATTGAGGTAAATACTCTAATAAACAGCCCCGGAGCTGACAATGCCAGACGGGCAAAGTACGACATTACCAGACGGAACGACCCACATCTACGTAAGTACTAAGCTCAGAGGAAACTTTAGTTGATTACAATTTTGACATATTAAATCAACTATTAGTGTACACACTATTCCAGTATAACAAGAAATAATTATACTTAACTATGATAAAAAGTTTCGGCAGCGAATGGTAATAAAGTTCGCGCTAGTCAGAATTCTTCTATAGTAGGTTATTATAAATTGAAAAGTCTAGATACATGGATGTTTGTTTGAAGGTATCTCCGGCACGAGTCAACGGATCTTGATAAAACACACACACACAGATGTAGAACATAGTATGGAAGAACACATATGTAAGCTTCTAATTAAGTTTTTTTTTAATTCCACGCAGAAAGTCGCTATAACTATCTAACATAAATCAAACTCCAAGAGAGTAGAAACGGTACAAAGTGTTTTAGATGAAGCTATTTAGTTCTATCTTTTTTTAGACATTATTAGTGAGAATCATTTGGCGCGAATGGCACGCTTTTGTTGCCAAGTCAAAAAAAAAAAATTAATAAGGCTAGTGTTGCGCCGATGCACTGGCACAGTGTCGGATTTTCTTCCTAACACTTCAAAGCTATAAAATAATAAGACCTAATTAAAACTATTTACGATAATCATATATTAAGATAGCGCGTGCTAATTATCTACTAGCAGACTAATTAGTGATTTTTATACCGTCCTTGTCGCATCTGACATCCTGACAGTTCACGTTTATCATAACCTCGTCTGCGGTGACGGTGACCAAGATGCGTATACCGGAACGTACAAGTCTCACAGACTCCCAGTACTTCGTATGACTTAATATATGAGCAGATTAACCCTTCACATCTTCAACTTGATTGCTTAAGAATTGTTCTCCGTATGGAAAAAGGCTTTAAGATGATGACGATATAAACAAGTAATAATTTTTATGATTGTAAATTGAACTTTGATATGGTAAATTCGATTTACTTTGAGTAGCGTTAATTACTTATAAAATGTTTAAAAAAAGTAAGATTCTGGTGTCTAATACAAAAACCTGACAGTTTGTAATTACATCATGTCGGGTTTTAAATTTAAAATAAAAAAGTGTATAATTACTAACCTCAAAATGTTAAGGAAATTATTATTTGGTAGTCTGAATGTCAGAAGAGACGGCGCAATTTTTTGCGGTTTTAAAAGACGGAAACAATTTTTAAATTACTTAGTTAATTTTTCTTTTTCCTTGCACAAAATATGCGGAAAAACATATTTGCATTGAAAAGTACAGAAGACAGGCAACAAAAATCATGTTAAATTGCTGAAAAACATAAAAATGAAAAAAAAAATTAAGACCAATATACTCTTTTATTTCGAACAAGATTATAACCAAGACAAATAGTACGCCCAGTTTTGTTACTATAGCTTTCAAACGACTCATATAAAGCCAGAAAGAAGTATGGTTCACCTACTGACAATTGCTACATGTGATTTGGTCGTGACAGGTTCAACGCCTGCCCGACAGTTTAGACTCGACGACAGTACATCAACGCAATCTCCATGCATAATAACGTCAAATATATTATGAGCCTCATTATGTAAGGTCTGTCAGCATTTTGCTAACGTATTTCGTAGCAAAATTGTTTGAGTACTCGCAAGAACAAACGTTACGAAAAGTTTTTATTGAAAACTACTTACGTAATTTGTACTGATACGTATTAGGTT